CAGGAGACAAGAAGATGGCTCAGGACAGCAGGAAGAGTGTCATGGGTACCATGTTGCTTACCTTTCTGTGATGATCTTGCCGCAGCCGGCGCACTTCTGAGGGCCGCTGTTGTTCTGCGCTTCCACCTTCACCTCCATGGCGGCGGGGAAACCTGAGGAAGAGAAAACCATACAAGTGAGTTCGATTCTTTGGAGAACAGGCCTTTCGTCCATAGGCAAAGAAGTGTGCCGAGGCAGGCTGCGCGGCAACAGAAAAAGAACAGAAAGGAGGCTTTATTTATTTCAGTCTTTTGCTTTGGCTTCGTCTGGCACTGTTCACCATTTGAACGTTAAAGATAAGAGAGAAATGACAGAGATTTGTTGTCTCGCAAAACTGCATAAATACTTTAGTAGCATTATTATTAGGATTATAAATTGTCGACACGGGACTTTAATGGCCCTGGCATTGTAACATTTGGGCGTTTCCGCGCGAGGCTATGGCGGAATGGTGTGCGGGGGAAGGAGGAGGAGGAAGGGGGGCCCGTGGGCTCCAAAAGCGCTCTCTGCTGCTCCACTTGCCCCGCGGCGGGGCGCGCCGGCCACACGCGGCGGAAAGTCGTTTTGAAAGCCCCATTTATGGCACGGCCTGGCGCGAGCGCGCCCCCCGCGCATCGTGCTGCGGCCCGCCGGAGGCGCGGCCTGCGGGGGCTGCCGCAAAGACACATCGCGAGGAGTGTGATTTGTGCGCCACCAATCACACTCGTGGCCGTAACTCAGCGGACGCCGCCCGCCCTCCCGGCCAGCCTATAGGCCAGCCTTTAGGCCGGCCCTGATGAGCTGATTCATGACAAAACTACCTCCCCGCCGCGCCCCACCCCGGCCGGCCGGCACTTGCCCCGGGTGCCCGGGAATGACCTTTTGGGCACAAAAGCGGCGCGACCATCCCTCGTATTCCCCCCATTCCTCTCGCGGCGCCGTGAGAACGCCATTTCTTCGGTTAACGCGCCAAAACACCACACCACATTACTTTCGCCGCCTTGCCTTGCCTCTTCCTGTCGCAGCATCAGTAGCTTTTGATCCCATTTCGCACGATGCGCCGCAGGAGGGAGTCGGGAGGGATGAGCGGGGGCCTCGCGCGGACATACCCCGCGCCCCCAGAGAGATTCGCCCTGGCGCGGGGGGATGGGCCGCTAACGGGCGGCGCGGAGTATCGCCAATCATCACAACCACCTTTGTGTGAGTGTATGTGGGGAGGGGGTGGGGGGTGACTTCACCCCTCCCCTCCCCTCCCCTCACCTTCCCTCTCGCAGTAATGAAATAACCGCCGGGCCGCGGAGCAGCAGCAGCAGTAACGCAATAATTACACACGCGCAGAGCGCACTGCTGTCTCTGCAGAGCGCGTTGACACGGTTCAAAAGAAACAGGCTAAAAAGAAATGCTCCCCGGCCCACATATGAAGATTATTAATCGCGGGGAGGACGGGTTTGTCGTCGTTGTCGCGCGTGAGAGAAAACTGACCGACTGCCTGCGAGCTCCAGTCGACCGAGGAGGCGAGCTCCCAATTTCATCCGCGACGGACCTTGTCCTCCTCCCCTTTGCCCGGTCCCCTGTCCTCCATCCCCTCTGCGCCGCTTCCCCCCAATCCGGTCACCCCTCCCCTTTCCTCTCTCGCCCGCCCTGCTTGCCGCAAGAGTTTTAATCGGTTTGATGCGCATATACACAGCAAGAATAATCGTGCCCGATTAATCTCCCACAGAAATGGTCTACCGCTCAGGCAGGAGGCTGGCACAAGGTAGGCACGGGGAAGGGGTCGGGGGACAAAGAGGTGAGAGGCGAACAGGGGAGGCTGACGGACCAAGGAAAAGAAAGAAGGAACAGGCTGCCGGGCAGGGGCGGCTGCAAGGCAAAGGGGCACCGCGATCAGCTGTGCCGGCGCGAGTCGAGGAGACAGTCGTCGGCAACGAGCAGGCTCGCGAGCAGAAGGCCGCGCGAGTCAACAACCCCTGCCCTGCCGATGCAGTTTGACTTTGTGTCAAAGGATCTCGGGATGTATGCGGCGGTAACGGCGGGGAGGCGTAGCCTGCGGCGATCATCTTAAAGCTCTCCGCCCGCCCCGCCCGCCGCTGCGCCAAGTCAGTCTGGGCGCGGGCCCTTAACGTATCTCAGAGCGCGGCCGCTTCCCGCCCTTTGCGCATATTGGGCCGCGGCACCGCAGGCCTCTGGTCCAGCGCCTCCCAGATCAAAGGGCTGCTGCTGCTGCTCAGTCCGTTTCCGTTCAAAAGTCTCTGTCTTCCTCCTCCCTGCTGTCTGTGTGTATGTGTGTCTGTCTGTCTGTCGTCTGTGTACAGCCACTTGTCTGCTCAGTGGTATCGCTTAGCATTTTGACTCGTGCCCCGCAGCCGCGCAGCCCCCCGTGTGGGCCGAGGAGGGTCCCCGCGCGCCCGGTCGGAGGCCCCCAGGCGCAGGCCCAGCGGAGCGCACCACTGCGTCAGGACAACACACTGCCTGCTGCTGGTGACTGTGCTCGTGTGCGGGTATGTGTACGAGGAGAAGCGAGAGGCGAGAGAGAGAGAGAGAGAGAGAGAGAGAGAGAGAGAGAGA